AATGACGCTGCCAGCCTGGGTGACCTGGAGGGTGGTCGTATCCTCCACCGGAATAGCCAGGTTTAGAAACAGGGAGGGTTTGAGGGGAGATACTGAATTATCCTGGGATATAGTGAGTAGGAGAAGCCTATGGGAAATTCTGCTTTAAAAGTCCTATTTATTTGTTGTAGATTCAGGCATGGAACCCACGTCACAGGATGAAACCCCCAAGCGAGAGAGCTTGGAGAGAGGACAGAAGCCTTGGAGAAGCCTCTGAGACAGGGGGTATGCCATGGACGCTGACCCAGCAAAGGAGGCAGGAAGGGAGGAGTGGTTAGACAGGAAGAAGGAGGGGACCCAGAGGGAGCAGGGCCATGAAAGTGTCAGGGAAGAGAGGCTGAGGCCTGAGAAGAGGCCACTGGATTTGGATATTTGGGGAGGGAGTAACCACTGAGAGGATCAGGGAAAGTCTCTCAGGAGATGCCACTCTGAAGAACTCCCGTAGCTTCTGATCCAGTAAGGTGAACCAGCATTTATTAAGTGCCTACTGGGTGCTATGCACTGTGTTAAACATGGAAGATATAAAGGGAAAACCCAGGCACTATCCTGAAGGAGCTCCCAGTGTCTAAGGAGGGGGACAACCTACAAAAGGCACTGTACAAATGAGACAGAGAAAGCAAGGGTCCATTGGGGGGTATAGTACTGGGGGGGCATGTCTTTAAGGGGGACCGGAAAAAGCTCCTCACAGAAAGGGTGACTGGAGCCTAAAGGAAGCCAGGGACCCTCAAAAGCTGGCTCCTACACCTCCCTACAGATCTGGTGTGCACCTGGTCATGCTCTTGAAATGAGCCCATGTGTCTTTCTGGGTCTCTGCTCTGCTCCACCCAGGGCCTGGTGCTCAGGAAGGCCTCAGTTCACTGTGACTTGGTGAACGACTGGCTGCTCGGCCTCTGTTGCTCTGATGAAAGAGAGCACTGGAGAAACGACCCGTCTACACCACAATCTGAGACACCACTTCAGGAAAGAGGACAATTCTACTTCCCTGGGGAAGCCTGGAGGCGAGGAACATGGGGAGCAGCTGGTTCTCGTGATATTCTTTCCATCTGTGACGGCGTCCTGGACTCCACACAATCCCTGGCCAAATCTCGTCCTTTCTGTCTCCAGACATCTTCCCACGGATGTCCTTCCCTTCCACCACCTTAGTGCACACCTTCTTACTCTCTCACCTGGACTTTACAAACAGCCTCCTCCTATCTGCGTCTCCTGCCTCAAGTCTCTCCCCATTCCAGTCCAATTTGCACAAGTCACTAAAGTGATTTTCCTATAGCACAGGTCTATGTCACCAGCACCGCCCTTCGGTAAAGTGTACTGGCCACCTACTCCTTCTAGCATCAAATATGAAGTCTTCTGTTTGGCATTTAACACTCTGCACAAACCTCACCTCTCAGGGCATCGGTGTGACCCTGGACAAGTCACTTAACTCATCTGAGGCTGGTTTACTCATCTGCAAAAGGAGGGGGCTGGACCCAGTGGCCTCCCTTCCACTTCTAAGTCTACGACTCTAGAGTAACAGGGGGACAGACCCATGACAGCCCCTTCCTCCTGGCCGTACAAAGATGGACTAAAGCAAGATAACCTCAGCAAAGAAAGTGAGGAAACAAAGTATCCAAACTTTAAAGACCGAAACAGCTGTATCGACCTAGACAACCACAAACTAACATCATCTATGTTTTATTGCAGCTTTATTTTTTTGAATATTTTCCTATTACATTCTAATCCAGTTCAGCCCACCGGAGTATTCTGCTTCAGCGATTAAATTAATGAGGTTTCTCTCCATCATGAGTGCTATAATGTTGAATAAGTGCTCTGATCTGGGGGCAGCCTTCCTGCATTAATCATATTCTAAAGAGTTCTCTTTGTATCTATTCTCTTCCATAATGAAAGATGGGAATTCTGGGTGCAGGCCTTTCCACGTTCATTGCATTCAGTGGGTCATTCTCCAGTGTGAGTTCTCTGATGTCGAGCCAGTGCTGCGCTGCGGGGAAAGCCTTTCCCACAATCACTGCATTTAAATGGTTTCTCTCCAGTGTGAATGCTGAAGTGTTGTCTAAGATCTGACTTCTGGCGAAAGATCTTTCCACATTCCGTGCATTCATAGGGTTTCTCTCCAGTATGAATACTACTGTGGCTGGTAAGATTAGATTTGTGAGAGAAAGCCTTCCCACAAACACTGCATTGATGAGGTTTTATTCCTGTATGAGTACTCTGGTGCTGAGTAAGGTTGGAGCTTAAATAAAAAGTCTTCCCACATTCACTGCACTCGTAGGGTCTCTCTCCAGTGTGAATTCTCTGATGCCGAGTCAGCGTGGTGCTCCGAGGAAAGGCTTTGCCGCAATCATTGCATTTAAAAGGTTTTTCTCCAGTATGAATCCTGTAATGTTGCATAAGATTTGTCTTCTGGTGGAATGCCTTTCCACAGTAACTGCATTTGAAAGGTCTTTCTCCAGTATGAATTCTGTAGTGCTGTGTAAGATTTACCTTCTGCCAGAAGACCTTTCCACATTCACTGCATTTGTAAGATTTGTTTTGACTATCAATACCAGCGTGTTGAGTACGATCTGCCTTCTGACATGATGTCTTTCTAGAGACGGTCAACTCAGAACATTTTTTCCCTATATGAGTTCTCTGGTATAAAGTAAATTCACTATTTGGGAGGAGAGAATTCCCACTTCCATGAAGTTGCTCTTCAGCATGAATTCCATGCTTTCTAATGCAGTCTAAATCATAAACAAAAGCTTGGTGACATTTGTTAACCACAGAATATGTCAGTGAATAGATCTGATTATATCGTCTTTGATCTGACTCCATGGTGAAGCGCCTTCTCTGGTTATCACTTTTACGGAGATTCAGAACTACAGATAATTCTTGTTGTGGAAAAAGGACTAGCTCTGGATTAGCAGTGTGGCTGTATCTACTGTATAAAGAGCCTCTGACTGCATCGGCAGTTTCTGTTTGGATGACTTTTCCTTGTCTAGAATGTTTCTCCTCATTGCTCTGTTCTTTCTTTATAACGCCATAATACTCCTGGGCTTTTCCTACCTTAGGGAAGCATGAGTCATCCCACAGGGACCTTTCCTGGGATAAGGCTTCCATAGAAATACTCAACTTTGGAGCTGACTCCTTCATCTGAGGCCTAGTGTCACCACCTGAAGATAAGAAAAAAGTGTAAATGCCCTTTCCCTCGAATGAATAAGCATTTCAGTACACTTCACTTTCCCCAATATTCTGGCTGTTATAGCAATGTATTTATTTTTCACTTAGGTTTAAATCAATTCTTAAGGTTTTAAAATTTTCTTTGAATTCACCAAGCTTATCCTTTCATATAGCTCAATAATATCACATTAGGTAAATATGCCAGAACCAACGCAGATGATGGAGAACTAATGGAAAAGGAGCAAATACTGGCTCACATACACCAATATGGACAAAGTAGCTTAAAGTAGTTTTTTTAAGGAAACTTCTTCATCTGAATGTCACACCTGGGAGAGTCAGGAGAGTGATCACTGGGTCTATGAAGAGGAAGTTCTGTGGAGTTCCTACACTGCAGAATTTCACTGTGCTTTCCAAAAAGATAAAAACAATGCAGAGTTCCACCCATGGTGGAGCAGCGTTCCTGCATTCTGAAAACACCAACAGAATCTGATCATTACTATCTGTCCCTATCAAGTGACTTTCGTATAAAAGGTGACAACATCAAAACAAACTAGAGGAATGGGGAAAAATCAGCTGTAAGATCTATACTTGGGAGAAGAGTTCATGACTAAAAAGTCATCGAGAGCATCACAAATGTGCCCATTTTCAGGGGGTGCACAGATGAATGATCAGCTGAGTACTGAGTGTGGGCACTCACTCACACACTCACCTGGCCAGCAGCTTCTTAGGACACTATATAATGGAATCCCAAGTGCTTCCCCTGACTCCACCTGAGAGATCACCTCCACCTTGGAATCTGCAAGGCCTAGTGAGGGGAAATGGCACAGTGATGGACAGGTATGGTCACCTCACAGCCCATGCCTCACAGACAGTTAGGAAACAGTGAGGAAGGACCAGGGAGTCTGGGAGCTGTGGAGGAGCATATACAAAACATGTAAAGGGTGATCTGGTTTCTTTTCCTGGGAAGATACAGGAACAAGACAAAGAATGGAGCTGGGTTCAGAAAGCCAATGAGTTCATTTGATCCACTCAATACTGAGGTATCTGGGAGCTTTCTTGACTTCAGTATCTGCCCTGGGGCGTGAGAAAGCCTCCCTGGCCTGAACAGACAGCTGGAGGGGGCTCCCACAACGAAGCAGCCAGCTTCCAGACATACAAAGCAAGAGCCCTTCAGCTGGGCCCAGGCACAGCACAAGAACCCTGTCTCCTGGCCTCACTGTAAATAAGAAATGCTTGGTTTTCTCAGAGGCCAAAGCACCAGTGCTGAACACTAGGCCCAGCCCCAGCAGAAGGAAGCAAACAACCTTTCAGGGGCAGATCCCAAGTCCCCAGAGGAGCCCCCTTACCCAGGCTGACCAGGTTCCTGTAGTTCTCCAGCATCACCTCCCAGTAAAGCTCCTTCTGGGAGGTGTCCAGGTAGCCCCACTCCTCCCAGGTGAAGTCCACGGCCACATCCTTGAATGTCACTGATTCCTGAAACAAATAAATCTGTGCTTGGCCAGGGACCATACCCCAGATGGATGGGGGAAGGGAGGTGAAGGGGGGCAGGAATGAGAAGGGCTGATTCTTACTGTATTCAGGTTTCAGAGTGTTCAAAGCAAAATCCTGAGGAGCATTTACTACATGCCTCAGATTCTGAATCACGTGATAAAAGAATAGTCATAGTCAAGACCATAAGCATTCATGGAGTGTCTGCCCTGTGTCAGGCTCTGTGCTCAGCCCTGGGGATATAAACTAGGGCAAAAGCAGTCCCTGCCCTCAAGGAGCTCACAGTCTAACGGGGGAGACAACAGGCACAGAAACAGTCCTGACAGGGGACAGCAAGGCCCCAGCAGCTGAGGAGACCAGGACTGGGTTCCTATGAAAGGGAGGGCTTGAGCTGAACATTGGCAGATTAAGTCAGTGCCTCCAAGGGGGGCAAAGTGAGGGGAGAGAAGCATTCCAGGCAGGGAGAGAAGCAGAGGCAGAGAGAAGAGATGGGGGGGGGTCACGTGTGAGGAACAGAAAATAGGCCAGGCTGGCCGGGCCACAGCAAGCAGGGAGGACTTTAACAGGGTAAGACGTGGGAAGGTAGGAAGGGCTCAGTTTGTGCAAAGCCTGACGTGGCAAATGGGGCATTTTATCTGATCCTGGCACCTGGGAGGGGCTCATCCACTGAGGTCTGGGGACTGGCTCTGAGGACAGAGAGCACTGAGGAAGGACCATCTACACTGTGCCCTGAGACACCTGGCAGGGAGGAGGGCAACGCTGCTTACCTGGGGGGGCCTGCTGGGGAGGAACTCGGGGCCCATGCTGCGCTCCTTCCTGCTCCCTGCTCTGGCTCGCACCCAGGCCCCTGGGGTCCCACGAGGCTGAGCTGGAAAGGAAAAGGCAGCCATGAGAGGGGTGGGCCCTTTCCCCTCCCCCCCAGACCTGCCTCTGCCTGGGAAATGCCCACAGTGACACTGGGGGCAGCCTGTCTGTGTCCAGGACTCGGGTCAACTCAACGCGCATTGATGAGGCGCCCACTGTATGCCTCACTGCATTCTGGGTGCTAGACATGCCAAGGAGACGGAAAAGCCCAGACTGTGCCCCTCCCCCCAGATATGCCCAGTCACGTGAGGGGGAGGTGGCAGTGACACCTGGGGGGAGCCGGAAGGGGGGGGGTCTTGGGTTAGAGAGGTGAGGCTAGAGACTCCTTTCCCAGGGGGTCTGAACCCTAGAAATGCAGGGGGTGGGGGAGAGGGAGCCCAAGGTCATCCATGTGGGGGGGAGGCGCCGAGGGCGGGGCAACGTGGGGGGGAGAGGAGGAGAAGAAGAGGGGGTGGAGCAGGAGGGGGATGGGACGGGGTGAAGGCGGTCCCGCCTCACCCGCACCCCCCTCCCCCAAGGGTCCAGGAGCCTTCTCCCCACTTCAGACACTGAGGGAAGGAGACGGGAAGAGGGGCCAGGGAGGGGCCGGTCCCCCCCACCCCCCCCACTGGCCTCCCCTCGGTCCCCTCCCCTCGCCCCGGACCCAGGACCAGCGCTGCCACCGCCAGGACCCAGAACCTCACAAGCTTCCGGAAGGCTGCGAAACCGAACAGGAAGAGGGAACTTCCGCGTTTGCGCAGTAGCTCCCTCAGCGAGGGCCGTTCCCATTGGCTAACTCCTGGGGGCGGGGCGTTCTTGTGCGGTTCCAGGGCAACGCCTCCTTTTTCTTCCTTGGCTGTAATTGGGGCTGGGGGAATCCGCTCCTCCCACTCTCCCCGCCAGGCCACGCCTGGAATTTTGAGCCAATCAGAGGTGACGCTGCTGCCGCGGCCCCGCCCCCACCGGCTTCCGCTCCCCCCTCCCTCCAACCCCATAGAAGTTTACAGGGAAGTTAAGCACGTGGTGTTGGTCAGCGCTCAGCCTGGAGTCCAGGAGGTTGTGGGCGTGAGGACTCCTCCCCAGGGAGCAGGGATGATGGCTCCTGGTCTGGTTGTTGTCCTTTGTTCCTGTAGAGGTCCAAAAGACATCGCTTGCTGGAGTCAAGCTTCAGTGTGTCCGACTGTGGCTGACCAGACAAATACAAGCTCAGAATGCTCTACCACAGGCTGGGCACAAATGGTCCATGCGAACATGTCGGTGGATTCTCTAAATTTGTGCATCTCGCGTTTCTTTGAAATAGAAGGAACTAGAATTTCTTCTGAAATATCTGAAAAAGATGATGGCTAAGATTCCTTCTACCTATGAGATTCTATAATTAGTCTTCTAGCTTGTCTCCCTTGGTTGGCATGTTTCAGTGACATTGGTTCCATTCAACAGGTGATCAGATGAATAGAAACTCAGAATATTCTACCACAGGTCAGGCACAAATAGTCCATTTGAACATTTGAGGCGGTTTTCTCTAAACTTGTTCATCTTGCCTTTCTTCTGAGCTACTTCAATTCGGCTTTGCTCGTACGGCACAGCACCTTCTCCGATGTGGGCAAGCCATGCCGGGCGGTCCTGTGCCAGTGTCTCCCATGTCACGCAATCAATTCCAAAGTTCTTAAGAGAGACCCTGTGAGTGTCCTCATATCACTTCTTCTGACCACCATGTGAACACTTACTGTGTGAATTCTTCATAAAACAGTCTTTTTGGCAATGCCACGTTTTGCCTTCCAACAATGTGGCCAGCCCATCATTGCTGCCCTCTCTGAAGCAGAGATTGAATGCTTGATAGTTTAGTTTGAGAACGAACCTCAGGGCCTCGTGTCTTATCCTGCAAGGTGACCTTCAGAATCTTCCTAACACAATTCAAATGGAAAAGATTCTATCTAGTATGGCTCAACTAGACTGGCCAGATTTCACAGACATACAGCAATGAGGTCAGCACAATGGCTCTGTAGACCTTCAGTTTGGTAGTCAGTCTAATATCTCCTCTCTCCCATACCTTCCTCAAACACTGAGCTAGCTCTGGCAATGCTTATGTCAACCTCCTTATCAATGTGTACATCCCTGGAAAGTACACTACCAAGGTAAGTGAACTTATCCACAGCATTCAAAACTTCTCCATTTGCTGTAACAGGTTCTACATATGGATGGTGTGGTGGTGACTGTTGGAGAATCTGTTTTCTTGGTATTAATTATTAGGCCAAAATTAGCACAAGCAGCAGAGAATCGATCCATACTTTGTTGTATCTCAGCCTCAGAGGCTTCATTGAGTGAATGATCATCTGCAATTACAAATTCGTGCATCAAAAGTCCCTCCACTTTGGTCTTGGCTTGTAGCCTTTTCAAGTTGAAGAATTTGCCATAGGTGCAGTGGCTGACCTTGATGAAGTGTTCATCCTCATTGAAAGCATTTGACAAATTGGCTGAAAACATCATGCTAAAAAGCATGGGCACAAGCACACAGGCTTGTTTCACTCCACTGGTGACTGGGAAAGCACAAGGGCATTGTCCGTTATCCAGAACCTGTCAAGCACACCATCATGGAATTGACGTACAATGCTGATGAACTTCTCCAGGCAATCACATTTTGACATATTTTTCCATAAGCCCTCACGACTGACAGTATCAAAGGCCTTGGTCAGATCTACAGGCATTGTACAGACCTCTGTTCTGCTCCTGGCTTTTCCCCTGGACTTGTCAGGCAGCAAACACCGTTCCTGGGTCGTTTCTGAAGCCACCCTGGCTCTCAGGGAGATGACCATCTTTCAGGTAAAGAATCAGCTATTAAGGAGGACTCTGGCAAGAACCTTGCCAGCAATGACTAAGAAAGACCTGTGGTCTCCCTGTGGTTGTCACAGGACCATCTTCTTCCTTTACCTTTATAGAGATGGACAATGGAGATGTCCTTGAACTTCTGAGGGATAATCTCCTCTTGCCATATAACTCAGAAATTTTCAATCAGCTTTTGTATGAGCAGTGGACAGCCCCCTCCCACCTTGTAAATCTCAGCTGGAGTAGAATCAGCACCAGGGGCTTGGCCACAGGAGAGGAGCCTAATGGCATTGAAAACCTCTTCAGTTGGAAGTTCAGCTAGGGAGGGATTGGCTTCAACCTGAGGTAAACGATCAATGGCCTCAGCATTGATTGGTGATGGTCTGTTGAGAGCGCTATGGAAGTATTGGAATGCAGACTATTGCCTAAAGACAGTAGGGAGCCATGGAGGTTCTAGAGCAGGGGAGTGACCTGCTCAAACCTGTCCCTTAAGAATGTGTTTGGCAATTGTGTGGAAGATGGGTGGGACAGCCTGGATCTAGGGAGGCCAGCTGGGATTATTTTAGTAGTCAGAGGGTCCTAGATGTGGGACTGGAAGGGACCTCAGAAACCATCTTGTCTAACCCCTTCCTTTTCTCTATGAAGGCTCTGAGACCTAGGGTGGTGAAACAACTTCTCCAAGTTCTCAGGTAGTAAGCGTCAGAGGGGAATTTGATCCATTATCCTCTGTCTCCCAAACCAATGAGCCCTCTTTCCACTAGGCCACATTATAGCCTATAAATGTTAAGTGGAATTTATACCAAGCTCCATCTAATCCAAGAAGCCTTTATGAAGTGCCAGGCCAAGGCCAGGGCTGTGTGCGAATGGAGAACACATGCCTCAGGGCAGTACCTCCATCCCCTGCTTTGATTCTTGGGACAGTCCTGGAAGTCAGGCACCACTGTTGACATAGATTTGTGCATGGAGATGCTATGGAGGAGAAAGAGATTTTGCAATGGGTTGGTCACATGGGAGAAGTGAAAGTGACACCAAGTGAAAGTGACAAGGGCAGAGGTGGTGTTTTCTCTCTCTCCTGTTTCCTTCTGCCCCAGCTTCCCTGGCTTCCTTCGAGTCCCAGCTAAAATCCCGAGTGCTACAGAAAGCTTTTCCTGGTTCTTCCAAGCCTTAGTGCCTTCTCTTGGTTGGGTCTCCCCATCATCTGCCAGCAGCTTCTTCAGGTACAGTGGTTTGCAGGCAGTGTCTGCCATTACACTGTGAGCTCCTTTGAGAGCACCCATGGTCTTTTGCCTTTCTTTGTATTCCTAGCACAAAGCTCCATAGCATAGTGCCCAACACATAGGAAACACTGAAGAAATGCTTGCTGACTGACTGATTTTAACCTCCAATCATTAGCTCCTTGGGGCAGCTAGGTTCCCCAGTGGAGAGATTGCTGCTCCTGGAATCAGGAAGCTGTAAGTGCAAATCCAGTCTCAGACACTAACTCGCTGTGTGATCCTGACTAAGTCACTTCACCCTGTTTGCCTCAGCATCCTCATCTGCCAAATGAGCTGGAGAAGAAAATGGTGCTCTATGCACTGCACCACCTGGCTGCCCTAGGATTTCCTTTGGTTAGATGAAGAGGAAAGGGAAGAAAGGGCTGCTGCGGGGCAGATAAACACAGCTCCCTTGCAAGGTCCCTGTCTTCTCAACCTGCTGGCCTTCCCCCACCCAGGTTGTGAGCTCTCTTACCTCACTCAGCTGAGGAAGAAGGAAAATGTTAGGGCTGTGAAGTCCCTGCTCTTGAGAAAAGCATAGAACCATAAGATGTCACTGCTGGGAGGGGCCTTAGAACAGGGAATGTCAGAGCTGGAAGGGGTTCCCATCACATAAGAAAAAGGCTCAGGACTCCTGTTGTAAGTTATCTAGTCCACTTTTACATATAGGGAAACTGAGGCCCAAAGAGCACAGGTGATACCATGAGCTAGTAGCCTACCTAAGAGCAGGCCTCCTGACTCCCAACCTGAAATGCTCACTTTGACCTGGATTGTCATGGCATCCTCCATTTTGCTTGGGCATGAAGGCCTCCTCCCATGTCTGTGCTCTGCCAAGTATGTGTGTTTCTTTTCCTTTCTACAGGAAAAGGCCTGTGCCCTGGGGTGGCCAAGGAGGGGGATGCCAGCTTGATGGGTTGGCTTTGCCCACCTAATCTGAGCACCTCTGACAGAAACTCTGTTCTGCTCTAAGAACTTTTGGATGGAGCAGCTGGTGCTTGGGCTTAGGGGAGAAGGGGGAGGGTACAAGTAGGGGGTTTCCACCTTATTCCAGTTCTCATCCTAAGAAAGAGGAAGCCAGGCCTTGGCTGGGTGGGAATTCATCTCCTGAGTCTGCAGGAAGTTGCTTGGTCAGCGATTTTCTCGGGTGCCTATTCAGGGGCTCTTGGAAAAAGAGGGGGGTTTGGGGGAATGACCCTAGGAGGGGTCTTCACTCAGAGCAAAACCCCAGGGGCCCAGGAGCTTTGGTGGTTGATCTCAGCACCCAGGCTTCAAGGAGGGGTGTGTAGTGTTGCAGGGGTGTGTGTGGCCATGACTTGTAAATGTTACTTAACCCTTGGAGGAAGTGAAAGTCAGGCAAGGGGCTGCAGGGAGGCCAGAAGGTTCCATCCCCCCTTTGCAATCATGCCCTGGAAGTCCCAGTTATCCAAAGTTGGGACCACTGTGTAGAATCATGGGGCCTAAAGTGGAAGGGACCTCAGATGAAGAAAGTGAGGCCAGAGAGGAAGTGGTTGGAATGCCCAGGAT